CCTGCTACTCATCAGGCATGCTTTAGATATGAAATAGGTTTCCTAATGCTGCTGTAAGAGCTCACTACAAACTTAGTGGTTTAAAACAACACAAATTTATTCCCTTATGGTTCTGGAGGTCAGAAGTCTGAGATGAAGGCTCCAGGGGAGATGCATTTCCTTGCCTTTTTTAGTTTTAAAGACCGCCTGCATTCCTTGGTTCATGGCCCACTTCGCCAACCTCAGAGTCAGTACTGTAGCATCCCCCAGTCTGCCTCTCTGCTTCCCTCATCGCATTACTGTTCTGACTGGGGCCCACTGCCTCCCTCTCATAAGACCCCTTGTGATTGGACCCACTGGGTAATCCAGGATAATCCCCCATCTCAAAATCCTTAACTTAATCACTTCTGCAAAGCTCCTTTTGCCATGTGAGGTAACATTCTCAGGTTGCAGGGATTAGGATGTGGCTGTCTTTGCAGGGGGCCACAATTCAGCCTACCACAGGTCTCGTGGAAGGAGCACTAAAGGTGGAGACAGACTAAGGGTCTGATCCTGGCTGATGTGCTGTGTGACAGTGGATAAGACCCTGCCCACTCTCTGGGCTACTTGCTTGTCAGCAAAATGAGGAGGTCATCGCAGTGACCTCTAAGATCGTTCTGAAAGGCCCCAGTTTCTTTTGTGTACCTTTTTTCTTTCCTGCAGACTCAGTGTTGCTGGCCACTTACCCGGGCCTCGTGATGCCCCAGGTCCCTGAGCTGCAGTAGCTTTTCCCGTGACAGCAGACTCCGGGCTTTGTTTCTTATGAGGCCACCCAGACTTAAAAATACAGGCTTATTATGTCTCCATTGTTTGTCTCTTCCTCCCCACTGACCAGAGAAGGCACGGGGCAGGGCATCAGAGTTGGGATGGGGGGACTCTGAAGTTGCAGAGGCTTCCTCTTGGAAGAAGAGGTTGAGGGGTAAAAGAAAGCGGATGCTGGCCTAGCGGCTGAGAGAGGCCTGGCTCGGGGCCAGAGGACTTCAGAGGGACCTGATCGAAACCAGCTGGCCCTATGCCAAGAAGTTGGTTACTATAGAAAACAGCCCGGCCACTGCTTGATTCTGACAGTAGAGCCCTGATCAGGCAGAGGGAAGGGCTCCTGTGGAACACTTAGGCCCAGACATTCTTTGGCAGGTTCTCATCTGTGTCAGGGACTAACTGGCTGGATCACGGCCTGTCCTTCTTCTCAACCCTCTCCCATCTGGCCTCTCCCCTTCAGGGAGCCTTGAGGAGGCCCCCTCGAGGGACTGCCCAACCCAGGGATGTGTAAATAGACCACCTGATGCAAAGATGGTGTTCTTGAGGCCCCGCAAGGCCTCTGCTGAGCCCCAAGGCCTCTGCTGTGCTGCTGGCCTGGGGGCCTGGCTGGGATGGAAATCTCGAGATACTCAGAGCTCAGTGGACACTTCTGAAGAGGAGACAGCAGATGAAATGGGTGCCTCAGGTTTTGTAGCCCACCTGCTGGCAGGTACCTCTACAGATGTAGAGTCATCTTGCAAGGGAGCCTTGAATTTGGATGTTGACATAGTGCTCACTCCTTTTGGCATGGCGCCCACAGTCTCCACATCCCTCCCCTTTCTTGTTTGGATGCCTGAATGAGCAAGATGCCTGTGACCCACCAGGGCTGGGGGCAAGGGCTTCCTTTTTAGGTCACCCACCAGTTCAGCTCAATTCAGCACAACCCCCAGGCCTCCCTTCCCTGGCGGCCTCTCTACTAAGAAATGTTTCCATCTGCCCAACTGGGAAGCCTCGGCCAGCACTTCAGCCTCTGGGCTCTGAAGTGAGGGTGGAGTTGCTGTCAGCCAGGTGCAGGTGGACTGATAGTGAGCAAAGTGATAGCCCTAACCCTGCCTGGGCAGGGTGAGACAGAGCTGTTCCACTCACGTAGCCATCAGCATTCCTTGGGTGATTCTTCTGTGCAAGGATTTATGCTTCTGGGGCAGCGGAACTGTGAGGGACATGTGGCTCGACTTGGGCTGAGTTCCAGACTGGAATCCAGGATCCCAGGGTTCTGGTCCAACTCTGCAGCCCTAAGCTAGACCTGGCCCCTTTGTGGACTTAACAGCCTGGTTACAGAGAACAAGACAGGGACACAAAAAAACTGGGCAAGGTAGAACCTGGTCAGGGTAATAGGATAGACCCACAGGCCAGAGGCACTCAGAGGAGGAATAGGCATCTGGCCTGTGGAATCAAGGAAGGAAGACGCTCCTCTCCCCGCGGGCAGACCAGAACAATTCCTCCTTTTGCCCAGATTTCTACAGCCACCCCAGGAAGCAGGGCCCAACCCCCTCCCAGTCCCTGTCCAGCCTGGGCTTGCAGCCACCTGCATACCTCCAAATCCTGGGTTATATTTGGTTTAACTTGCAGCTCAGGACTTCAGGGTGGAAGGGCAGGAGTGTATGTAAATGAACAAGCAGATTTATGCAAAAACAGTATCAGGCTTGTGCCCCCAGATTTCCTGGAGGTAAAAATAATGGTGTTTCCATTTCCCTGCCACATTGGATGACCAGCCCTTGCTTGGGTGTATAGTGATCTGACTCCAGCTGGTAATTAGCCCATATTTTTAGTTCATGGGCAATTCTCAATGGTAACTGGGTCTATTAAACTTGATTCAGACGTGACAGCTTAAATTGTAAACAGCTGTGAAGAGTTTCATACTTAATTACCATATTTAAGTTTTGCCATAAAGCGTCCGTACTTCCATCAAAAATGTAAATGACGGAGACATTCAAATGAGATTTTATACTTCGTGAAGTTTAATTGGCATGGATCAGTCAGCTTGTTTAGGGATTTAAAATTTTTAAAAAGAGTTTTAAAGGCAGTAGCCACAGATTCATTTCTCAATTAAATTGAGTTGTCTGGCAGAGAGGAAGGGAGTGGGGCAGAGGCTGGCTAAGCCTGAACTTGTTCGTTTGAAAGGGCTTGGTGCTTTCTTCCCTAGGCCCCGGCTTTCAGAAGAAAGCTTGATGTCGCTTCCAGCTATAGCTACAAGCTCTGGGACTTCCACTTCAGAAGCTGAGCCCGATGAACCCTGAACTGGGATCAGAGAGAGGAGGGGGTTGAGAGGCCTGCATGTGGGGTAGGGGGCAGGTCCTGGCTGGAGTGTGAGACGTCAGGATGCCCGCCTCTTGGGCAGATGTAGTTCAGCCAGCATGTTGCACCTCTGGTGGGCTTTGGCCTGCTCTAGAAGCAGCGGTTATTAGGATTATTAGGGAGCACCCAGATGGCATGTGAGCTGGTGACATGATAGAGATGGTGACGGTTTTGAGTTGAGTTTGAAGGGTGGGTGGGAGTTCCCCAGGGGTGAAGGACCAAGGTGTGGCCCCTCCTTACAGGTGGGTTATGGCACTGAATGGTTTTGGTCCCCTGCCACAGGCACTCATTGATATCTTGCTCCTACCAGGAAATGTATTAGCTTCCTGCTCCCTTTCTGGGATTCAGTTATAAGCCCTCTGACCCTTTATAGTACTAACCAGTCTGACCTTTGCCTCTGCAGCTAAGGCTCATTCAGACAGTGGCCTGGGCCCTTTCCAACTCTGAATTTTCCATTCTCTAACTCCAAGGGCTCAGTTACTGTGTGAAGTCCTCAGGTAATTAGGGAGGGCTTCTTGGAGGAAATAAGCCTCACAATTAATTGAATTTAGGGAAGGAAAGAAAAAAGTGGAGGTGAACAGCCATTGCCAAGGTGCAGGCTGGAATGAAGGTGGGAACTTTGGCTAGCTATAGGTGGTGAAAATGGGGCCCCAACTACCTGGGGAGGGTGTAGCTTCATTGTACCCCCAGGCTGCTTTGATGACCTGGGAGGAGCCAGGACTCTGCCTCCATCCATCAGGCATTCCAGAGCCTTGGAATGGAGCCAGGGTGGGCCTGGCCAGGAGCCCTCAGCTTCCAGTTCAGACTCGCTGTTACCTGCCTAACACTGCACCCCTCCCCTGACCCCACTTCCTGTTTTTCAGGCCCAGGCTGTCACCCTCACAGTTGCTCAGGCCTTCAAAGTTGCCTTTGAGTTCTGGCAAGTGTCCAAGGAAGGTGAGTCTTGTTCACAGACATTATGGGTGGGTTGAGGGCATAGAGGGGCCATTGAGGAAGGCTGGCAGAGTAGCATGGGGTGGGGAGGGGATGGTAAAGGCCCTGGAGTCAGGCTTGGACTGACTCCCACCTTCATCATCTACCTGATTTATGACTTTGAACAGGTTGCTTCACTTTTCTGAGCCTCAGTGACCCCCCCGCCACACACACACACACACACAAAGAATGGAAATAGCTGTCTCTCATCCCCAAGGTGCTTATGAGGATTAAATGAAATCTGCAAAGTTTCTTTCCTGCTTGCTAGAGACCTGCCACCTGCCACCTGCCCCCTGAGGGTGGCCACAGCCTACTCCCTGCCTAGCAGGTGCTGGGGATGGAGTGCTGGGGTTTGTGGCTCCAACGCACTGTGCCTTGGTCCCACAGAGAAGGAGAAGAGGGAGAAAGCCAGCCAAGAGGGAGGGGACGTCCTGGGCGGGGGCCGCCTCGACAGCACGCCCTTGTCGAAGAACCGTGAGTCTTGGGCAGGGGGAGCGGCCGGAATCAGCTGCATGACATGGGGTCTGCCTTGCAAGCAGAGGGTCTCACTCCCTCCTGGGCTGGAGCAAACTCTTGGTTTTTTATTTTTTTGTTGTTGTTAAATAAATAATACCTGGTCATTATAGATAAATTAGAAAATGTAGATAAAGGGAAAAAAATTACTTGTTATGGTGCATATGCTTCCAGCTATGTCCCTATGCAGGTATATAAATATGTGTAGGCATCTCTCTGTGTACACTTTACCTCCTATTGTATGCTCTCTTAAAAGAAAATTAATAACTGTTGTGAATATAAAAGTTCCAGCCTACAATGGAGAAGTTCTTACCCTGTGGGCAGCTCTCCAGCTGCTTTGGGAAGTGCCAGGGTGGGGCTCTGGATGGTGTGGGTGCTGGCCTGGGAAAGGCCATGTCCAAGAGTCAGGAGCAGGACAGCCCAGGAGGCTGCAGGATGGGGCTAGGAGATGAGGCCGGGAGACAGGAGGCTCCTCGCCCACTGACACAGCTGACTGGTCTCTTCACAGCGGTTGCCACAGGGAACCTGCTGGACTTAGAAGAGATGACCAAGGCCCCGCTGTCCACAGTCAGCGCCAACACCACTAACGCGGATGAGGCCCCACGACCTCAAGCCTTGAACAACAGCGGTGTTGTCTGGGTGAGTGTTCGTGTGGCCTGGTGACCCCACAGGGCTCTAGCGAGCCTCATCCTGAGCTCTGGATGAGGCCTGGGCGTGGTCCAGGCCCCGGCACCCATGACTTACAGGCCCCTGAGAGGGCCAGACCCAGCCCAGCAGCACCCAGACCCAGGGTAGGGGCTGAACAGCGTTCCCTTTGAACCCAGGGCTGCATCCCCAGCAGGCTTGCCTCCCAGCACAGCTGTCTCCTCACAATGCCCGGCCTCTTGGCCTGAGCATCCACAGCTCAGCCCACCACAGGACCAGCCAAAGGCTCCCTTGTTCTCTGTGTGGGCAGAGTTTGCTTCTGACACCCCTCCCCCCTCAGCTGTCTGAATGAGGAGTCTGAGACTCCAGCAGTGGGCAGTTGGCCCCTGACTTGCTCTGAGACTTAGGCAAGCCCCCTGACCTCTGTGTGTCTCAGCTTTTTCATCCCTTCAATGAGGATGATGACCTCTGCCTGCAGAATCTCCCAGAGGAACCTGATTTTTTAAATTAAATTTAAATTTTTTTTTATTTGAAAATAATTTCGGACTTATAAAAAAGTTACAAAAACAGTACAAAGAATTCCTGCTCACCCTTCATCCAGAGTCTCCAAATGTTAGCATCTTATATAACCACATCACAATGATCACAACCATTAACACCGATACGCCGCTATTACATAACCTATAGACCTTAGTCACATTTCTCCACTTGTCCCCACGATGTCCTTTTTCTGGTCCAAGATCCATTGCAGAATCACACATTACTTGTCATGTCTTTTTAATTTTAAAAAATTCTGGACTGTTGAGAGCCATGAGAAACTGTCAAATCCCACTGCCTGCTGGGGGCACCCAGCATCTGCTGAGCAGGCTCCCCGAGCCTGTTTTCTGCTCTCTGGAGCCACCCTCGTCATCTGCCCATCCTCTCGGGGAGACTGTGGAGGGGCCTCGCCCATTGTTTTCCCACTGAGGCTGTGGGATTCCTGCCATCAGTTATCCCTTGAGCTTGGAATTTGGGCTGGGCTTTTGGAAGTGGATGAAAGCGAGAAACCTTCCCTGCCCTCTTCCCCCTGGAATCTGAAAGCCAGAGCAATCTTGCAGTCATTTGGTTCGACCCCCTCATTTTATGGAAGGAAAGGTTGAGTCTCAAAGAGGAGTAGTGACTTGCCTAAGGTGTCACTCAAGTAGTGACAGAGATGGGAATTGAACCCATCCAGGTCCCTGGCACCCAGGTGCTCTTTCTCCTGCCCCGTATCCCAGATTTGGGCTGAGATGCTGGTAGCAGTAGCCAGGCGGGAGGCTTGTCTGTACCTGTTTCTCCAGGTGCCTACCAGAGCCCTGCACTTGTGTCTGGAGTCCTTGTACCTTACCCAGGGCTGGGACAAGTCCCAGCCATGAGCGCGGGTGCCCACACTGAGAGCTTATATCTCCTGCTTTGTTTTTCCTAAGGAGCTGGATGACGGCCTGGACGAAGCATTTTCAAGGTAACATTAGCTGGGCTCCTTATGCTGGAGAAAGATGCAAGCATTTGTGGGCTGGTCTCCGGGGCCCTTTGCCATGCCTGAGATAATGAACTGTGACCTCCAGAGCAAAAATCTTAACTTGTATACCTCCAGGGATGGGGAGCTCACTACCTGGCATTGGCCAGGTCTGCTAGAAAGCTTTTGCTGTTAAAAATTATTCCTGGTGGCTGCTCTACCACAGTCTGAGCTAAACTAAACACACTGCAGCTCAAATCTTCTTCCTGCACTTGGTATAACCTTCAAAAATTGACTCTTTTGTAGGCTTCGTTGCCTCCAGAGGTTTTGCATTTATGGAAAGGGGCAAGGGAAGGCAGTGCTTACTTAAGCCCATAGAGTGTTACATAGACCAGGAATGTTAGGCACAGCTAAGAGATATTTTGGTCTAGCCTGAGGTGATGGCATTTCCCCATTTTCCCAGGGGCTGTCCCTGTAGCCATGGCTACCTTTAGCTTGGGGACACACCACCGAGAAGGCTGAGGAGAGGCCTGGGAAGCTCAGGGTTCTGAGTCAGGCCCCCCTTTCTCCCGTGGGACCCTCGGCAGCCTCCCGTGGCCCTCTCCCGCCTTCCCCACCCGAGCCTGGTGGAAACCCCTGGGCCCAGACCCGGTGAGGGAGGCGAGAGCAGCTCGTGTGGCCCCTTCAGGGAGGCAAAGGCATTCTTGTTACCATTTTCCATACTTCACTGGCTGCCTACCATCCTCATTTGAAGAAAATCTCCCATTTGCTTTTTCCAGATTACCCAATATCATGTGTCCTTTATTAACAACTTCAAAAATCATCAGAGCATTGAACAGGAAATAATACTACCCCATAATCTCACAGCCCAGACCTTTGGGCTTAATTCATGCTAATCCTATACAGACATATATTTTTTTGCATTGATCAGCTCATCGTATTTGCATTTGAGGGTCTTGAGTTTCTCTTACCACCGACTTCGGGAGCATTTTTCTAGGCTGTTAAAAACGCCTTGTGCACACTGCATTGGTTGACTGCCTCACATTCTTTTAAGGACACGGGCCATAATTTACTTAACTCTCCCCCGTACTCCCCTTAGGTTGTCTCCCTTTTTTAATTCATTTTTGAACAGCATCGTGTCGAACATATTTATAGCCAGTGGTCTTCTCGTGGTTGTACCATCTCCCTCCCATGTGTGCCCCCTGCACTGCCTTCGCCAGTGAGGCCCTGTCCCCTTTCTTGGGCATTTCCTGATGGAACTGTGGGTGGTATAGATGCCCCAGCCTCTCTCTCTGGAGGGAGTGCCATTGCCTGGCCTACAGTGTTCTGAGGCACAGGCTCTCTGCTCAGAGGCTCCACCTCCTGGCATCTGGGACTTTCTTCTTTGGCCCCGTTTTCCCACCCATGTCCACTCACTCTGACCCAGGTGCTGGCTAGGCTGGACTGGCTCCTCCGGCCCCCGCCAGCCCCTTTGTCTGGGCCCTGGGCTCACACAGCTCTGCCTTTCAGGCTTGCCCAATCTCGGACGAACCCTCAGGTCCTGGACACTGGACTGACCGCACAGGACATCCATTACGCCCAATGCCTCTCGCCTGTCGACTGGGACCAGCCTGACACCAGCAGCGCTGAGCAGGACGACCTCTTCAGTTTCTGAGGGCCCAGGGCTGGTGGGACATGTGACCAAAACCACCTGTGGTTGGGGTGGGGCAGCCCCAGGACCTCCAGCCACCCTTTTCCGGCTGGCGGCACTGTCAGCCTGCAGATCAAAGCTGCAGCCAGTCAAGCAAAGGGAAGGAGAGGTTTTTTTTACCCTGCTCTTTCTCTAAGAACTGAAAGATGCCTTGAATATTTATTCAGTGACTTCTGGTTCAATCAGCTCGGAGGCTGGTTCTGTGTCAGGCACAAGCGCAATGTTAGAACCAGCTTCCTGCCTTCTCTTGAGTAAGCTCTGCTCTGCTGTGCGTGTCAAGATGGTCACCAAAGCATTTCTTGTCCCTTCTCTCAAAGGACCCAGATTTCCCTGGAGGCAGCCCTGCTCCTCACTGAAGGTAGTCGGAGCGTTCATTTCTATCTTCTTGAGAGCACAGGAGGGCACCGCAGCCTCAGGAGAGGGCTGTGGCCTCCAGCTCGCCTGACGCAGGGGCCCCAGCAGGCCCGGGCTTTAGCCCCTGGACCTGGGGATTCTTAGAGACAGAGGGCCAGCCCCTGACCAAAGATAACCCAGAGCTGGCACTTTAAAGCACACACAGCAGGTGTGGCTCCTGGGGGCTCCTCAATGGTGCTGTAGTGCAGAGCTTTCTGCCCTTCTACAAGAAGGGGCCCAAAGTCCCTGTGGATGGTCCTGTCACATGCTCAGAACCAGTGTAACTGGCCGCCCACAGACTCCCAGAGTCTGACTGCAACAGTGAGGGTCATCTCTGCGTGACTGCCCTCCATCAGGGCACCCCACCCTACCCCTGTCCCCCAGACGCATGAGCTTGTGCTCATGCTTCCTTTTCGTCTGTGTCTGTGTATGAGAGTGTCCCTGAGCCCCACCTCCCGTACTTCCTGGGGGAATGTATGAAACCTCACACCCGGATTCAGGTAAGACTGTTTTGTTACCCTTTTACAGATGAGAAAACTGAGGCCACCCGTGTGGAAGGGGTAGAGTCTGGGGTAGATCTCAGACCCGGTGCCAAAGCTGCCTTCTCACCTGTGCCTCGCACGGCTCACACCTCCTTTTTTTTCGAGCTTTGTTGTCCTCCCAGGAACCAAAAACCCCAGCTATTTTCTAACCAAAATGTGTTTCGTAACAAACCATCTGGTGCCTTTCCACACAGAACTGGCATGAGCCTCCGTGCCCTGCTAGCTGTCTCATCGCTGTTGATTTCTGTGAAAATGGAAGTGTTTGAAGTCTGTTAATTCAGAGGGTGAAACAAAACCAAACTCTGTAAGCGTTGTGCTGTTCTTTCCTGACACTCGACCCTGGGTCGGGACACACCAGCAGCAGTCTGTATTCAGGGTCTCCCTTCCTTCCTTCGCCTTCACCCCCACAAGGCCCCTCATATCCTGAAACCCAGCAAAGCTGCCAGCACCATCTCCTTCCTGAGGTGCCTCCCGGGCCTGGTTTTGCTGACCTTAAGTCAGCTACTGATGGTATTTGGAGCAGGTTTCACCAGCCCAGGAGAAATACCATTGCTCAGAATCTACTGATCTAACTAAGCACCTGAACCGAAACACAAAGACAGAAGTGCCTAGGTGAAGGGTGGAGTGGGATTTGTAGGGTCTGTATCAGAATATAAGCATAACTTCTTTTCTGTGCCCAGTTCCTTCACCTCTGCTCCCCACCCCAGACCTTGCTATTGGCCCCTGTATTTGTCATGAAGCAGCAAGGATTGGGCCTGACACGAGCCAGCTCTGGCGCCAGGGTCCAGGAGTCCTGAGAAAGACCTTGTAGTGTTTGCATGAGTTGGACTGTGGCCTTTGTCTTGATCTCTGGCCACCAGCAGTCATTGTGCTCCCTGTGTGTCTGCAGATCAGTCTCGTGCTCTTCTTTGTGTTGCTGTAAAGACATTTCCAATGAGGAAAAGAACAAGTAATAAACATTCTCTTTTTGAAATACAAAGAGCACTTGGGTGAAGCAGCCTGGCGGCCGTGTGTGAGTGTGGCATCTGGCAGCTCCCGCCCATCAGTGGTTGGAGCAGCCTAGACCTGGGAGATGATGGTCTCTGGTACCTTGGTTGGAGCCCAGCAGGGCCCCCTTTTCACCCAACAGATAGGGGTGTGTATGATGAGGTCATCTCTGGACAGCTCAGCGGGGTCAGCACTGAAGAGGTCTCTGACAACCTAGGTCAGGGCTTCCTAAGCCAGAACGTGTGTACAAGTGTGTGTGTGTGTGTGTGTGTGTGTGTGGAGGACGTCCATCATTTCCATCATATTCTCAAATGGCTCTCTGAAATTTATTCATTTGAAAGACTTTTTGCCCAGTGTGAACCAGGCCTGGGGCTCAGTGTGGGGGTGGCAGTCCACACAGGGTCCAGACGGACTCAGCGTGTGTGGCTTGGGTGTGACTGGGGACTGGGATGGGAGATGGTGGAAAGTGCATTCTAATGACTTAGGAAACCTGACGTCTAGCTCTGGCTCTGCCACTTGGGGGCTGCGACACTGGTTCAGTCACTTCTTTCCTTGAGCCTCAGTTTCCTTATCTGGGAAATGGGTATAATAAGCTCCACCCTTCCTGTATCCCTGGGTTTGGTGAGACTCAGAGGTGATCACTATCGTGGTGGCGGAGTATTTCTATGGCTTAAAGGTAATCTCAGAGCAAAAGGCAATTTGGATCAAATAAGGAAGTCAAAGTAAAATTGATAACAGTGACAGCTCCTGTTAACTGAGCTCTTCTCTGTGCCAGGGGCTGTACTAAACTCTCAGCTTTGTCTCATCGCAGTCCTGTTGCGCCCCGATGATATTAGCCCCTTTTGCAGCTGTGGGCACCAAGGCTTGGGGAGGACGGCAGTCACGCTTTCAGCACTTGGCAGAGTCACAGCCCAGACTCAGAAATGTGTGACCCTCCACCCCCCTGCCTTCCAGAAGCCATGTCTGCGATCACGGTGCCCATGGCCTTGTGTCAAACCACACGGAAAGGCCGCTCTCTTCAGGCTCCAGTGGGGCTCTCCTCAGATATTTATCTTTGTCCCTTTCAAACGGTGATATTCAAAGTATTCGGAACCCAGAGGCCAAGCCCTCTGATGTCAACCATCAGGCAGACTAGCTGTGAATTCTGAGTGGATTGTAGATGACTAAGAAATTCTCTCCTTTCTTCTTCCCCTATAATCTGAAAAGACACCCAACAAGTTTATCTTTCGGTTTAAATTTGGCCGATGCCTTTAGTCTCCGGATGTCTCAAATTATGAATCCTGAGCACCCGCTATCTGCTCTTTCATGCATAACAGAAGAGCCGGGAAGAACAAAGTCGCCTTTCAGATGTGATGTGACCTTCAGCTTCGCTGGTAGATGTTGGGGTCTTCTCTCCCAGGAGGAGATACCATCCCAATTAAATCTCTCCAAGGACTTTTTGACAAACCCAGATAGGGAATCTGGGTGAATTCCGTGTCCTCGGTGCTGGCTTGGGGTCCGGTTTGCCAGCCTTCCTCTTCCCCCCACACCCTATGTATGGATCACAACAGGTGGCCTGTTTATCAGGAAGCAAGCCTTTCTCTAGTGCTTACTACATGCAAGGCCCTGTTAGGTCCTGTACACTTAATGATGTGCTGGTCCTAACAATCGGGCTCCGAGGTGGGTGGTCCTAGTCCCATGTTCAAGAGTCAGGGAAAATAAGTGCATTGACCAGTCTCACAGCCAGTAAGGAGCGGACCTGGGATTCGAACCCCAGTCTTTCTGACTCCAGACCTTATTTTCATGGTACCATCCACCTTGTGGAGGGTAGAGCAAATCCAAGTTGAGCTGCCCATGCCCTGCTCTGCCCTGCCAGCAGCCCAGCAATGGGCAGCCTCTACCACAGGACAGACGGGAGCTGCCGGCCAGTGGGCTAGGTACCTGGGGTAGGGGCTGTCTTCAAAGACTGGTCAGAACAGATCCTACCTCTTCCTGGGTGACTGCCCTTTGGGGCTGCTGCTCTGGACATGCCCAATTCAGGGCTCAGCAGGGCATGTCTCATCACATCAGAGCCCCGCCTTGTCCCAGTAGGTGCTGCCCAGCCTATGCGGGTGGTGGTGGGAGGTGGGCCTGGAGTGCGCTTTGGTGTCCCCAGAGGAGGAAGTCTTCCTCTGAGAGCAGACTCAGTGTGTTGCCTGTGGCGAATCCAGCCTCAGAGGGCCCAGGAAGGAGGAGAACACATCTCTGGAACCCTGGCAGCATCTATACCTCGTTTAGGTTAAGCTGCTAGTTTAAGCTGCTGCTCAGTGACTGCTAGTAGGCATTATTAGCCCATTTTAGGGACTGTGAAGCTGAAGCCCATGGAGCTTATGCCATCTGCCAGCCTCACACAACTGGTAAGAGGCGGGCCTGGGATTCAAAGCCCATGTTCTCTAGTGTCCTGGGGTGGCCCTGCCTCTCTGCTGGGCACTCGAAACATTTGAACAACACAGTGACCTTGCTTCTTAGGAGCTTCTGAGCCCATCACACAGTAACCTTAGCCAAGTGCCCAGCACATAGTCGCTGGATCAGGTTAGTGCCTTTGCTTCTAGCCAGGACAAATGTGAGCTGTGTCACGAGTTCTTGTTGCCAAGCAACAATTCTGACTACCTGCTGAGCCCCCACCTGGGGTGAGGCTGCCAGGACCTGGCTTGATCTCTTCAAAATCCAGGATTTGTGGGTCATGGTGCCTGGAAAGTTCCTGGGTGTGGGCGAGGTATGTACGACACCAGGGGACATTGGGAGTCAGGGCTGAGGAAGCGAGGGAGGGCTCCTGCAAGAGGAGGGTATTTCAGCTGGGTCTTAAAGAAGGATAAAAGGGTTGAAATTTGCCTTCACTAGCCTGGGAGCTCCCAGAGGCCAGGGCCTGTGTCTGATTCACTCTATGGCCCCAGCGTTCAGCATAACACCTGGCGTAGAGTGGCCGTGAGTGACTCAGGTCAGCTCATCAAAAGGGGGACAACCCACCCAGCTTCCTATGAGAAGCTGCTGAGAGGAGAGGCACCCCTGGGTCAATTGGCAAGACTGGAGCCTCTGCAGCCTGATGCACCACTTTGCAAGTTACCTGTTCTGGTGGCAAACCCATCCTGTGCACACCGGGCTTGGCACTCCAGGCCTTCGTCACACAACCAGTGGTACACGCAGCCCAGCCCAGTTTGGTAAAACATGGTGTACTCCTCTGCCCTGACCAAAGATCTTGGTTTTCAAAATATCTTTAAAGCAGGATTCTAGAATGTGAGTGCTAGAAGAGCCACTGGTGGTCCTCCAGCCCACCCTCTTTGTTTACAGCTGGGGAACAGGCCCACAGAAGACAGAACTTCTGCAGTCAAGCAGAGCTGAGACTTGAGCTGTATTCTTTTCCTTGGATCTCATGCCCAGTTCTCCATCCATACCAAAAGAGGAAAGAGAAGCCCCTTCCCCATACCCGCTGGAAGGGGGCCACATGCTGAAGTCTGCAGAGCTCCCGGGGAAGTAGAAGTGATTATACCGAGAAGGGGCCAGAGAAAGGACCTTGGTGGCTTCTCAAGCACGTAATGAGCATCAGCTCATCATTGCCTCTTTATTCTCCCTCCTCCAGGGCCCCAAGGTCTCATCTGCAGCTCCAGCTGCTTGCACAGATGCCTGGAAGAGAGAGCAGAGAGTATGACTATGAGCACGGCCTCTAGAGCCAGATCGGGTGTGAGTTTCAGGTTTGCCACTTACTAGCTGCATAAGTGAGTTAATAGCACATGACTTGATAGCCTAGGTCTCAGTTTACTCATGTTTAAAATAGGATGATGACAGTAGTGTTCAAATTGGGGTTTTGTGAGGAGTAAATGAGTTAATGAATAGTGAATACCTGCAAGATGCTGAGAACCACATCCACTGTAGCGGGCACTTTATTTTTGCTGGGAGGGCTGCTCTGTGTGTGGGCAGGATATAGGGTGGGGGACGACCAGTCTCACTGCAGGGGTAAGACCTACCCAGAGTGGCAAAGTTGGGGAAGAGACAAGTCATGTCCTACCAGCTTTCACCCTCAAGCCACCCAGGTGCACACTCTGGCCCCTCACCATCAAAGTGTGCCCTCAAGAAAAACTAGAAGCCTCGTCCAGTTGGGATTCATTCAAGAACACATTCCCCCCTAGCTGTTTCAAGTAGGAAATAAATCTCTTAATAAAGAAATTCTCCTCGCAAAGCCGCTGGAGAGCTGGGGGTGTGAAGGAGACCCTTGCAAGGATTCAGGGAAGCAGGAAAGGTTGGAGTTGGAGTTGCTGCCAGTGATCCCGGTGGTGCGCTGCCTCCGATCTCATTGGCCGGAGCTGCTGGAAGCTGCTGGCAGAGGGAGGTGGAGAAGGTGGTTCATAGGCATCCAGCCCCTGAGTTACAGGAGGGCACAGAGTAGGGAAGGGCGGCAGTGCTGAGGTGCCACCGGACAACCTGGCATCCCCTCATGTCCAGAGACCTCATTGCCAAACCGACTACGTGCCAAGTGCTCCGTGAGACTCACATGTGTTATCTTTAATCCTCGTGACAGTCACATGGGAACCGAGACTCTCAGGCGAAGTGACAGAACAAGGACTGTACCCCAGGTCTGTCTGCACGCGAGCTTGGGCCCTGCCGCTGGGTGCTCTCCGAGCCAGGCTGGGGGTCTAGAGTCATTTATTCGACACCCACTGACTGAGCACCCAGCCCACCAGGGTGGGTTAGGTGCTTGGAACATGGCAGCGAACGACCAAAGTTCCAACCTCGTGGAGCTGACATTTCACTGAGTGGGGCGCGGTGGATACTGACCACCACGTATATACAGATAATCTATGTGGTGCTCAGTACCGCGAAGGGAAAAAGCAGGGGGAGGAGACAGAGTGACACGGTGGGACAGTGCTGCTTTATATAGGGTGGTTGGGGACATTTGAGCAGAGACCTACAGGAAGTAGAGAGGCAAACACATGGCTATTTGAGGAAAGAGCACTTGAGACAGAAGCAATGACAAGTGCA